GCGGGCACTCTCTGCCCAGGCCGCCCAGGGACAGGGCTGCCCAGGAAGCAGCTGGCCAGCAACCTCCGCCCGCAGTGGAGCTGGAGGAAGTCCGGGGAGAGTCAGAGTCAAGTCGGGGTTCAAATCTCCACCCCCCCGTGGCCAGGCGGCAGCTCCTGACGGCGCCAGCCGCGGGCGGCCCTGGCAGCCACCGCAGAGCTCCTGGCAGCCACGCCAGGTGGAAATACCGGGGGAACGTCCCCTGGTAACACCTGTGTAGCCCATCTAGCCAACAGCACCGTGTCCACGCGTCAGCCGTGAGCTATTAAAGAGCTACTTCACTTGCCTTTTCTCTTTCAAAGTCTCCAGAATCTTACCCTCGTGCACGGTCCAGTCTGCAGGTGCCACAGCCCCGGGCTCCCAGTGGCCCGAGAGTGGACCTGCGGCCTGGAGCCCCAGCCCTCCTGGGGACCCCGGGCAGGCACCCTGGCGCACAGGAGGCGCACAGGACCAGGGTCGCCCTCTCTTCCCCAGGCCCCTGCCTCCAGCCCTGCCTCAGAGTCACCCTGCGACCTCAGACTGACTGTCCAGGAAGCCAGGCCTCAGGGGTGGGGAGCTCACGGCTCCGTAGGGTCTAGGTCTCTGTGGTGCCCTGCGCCGGCTTGGAGGAGCTTCGTGAGCCCCTCCTGTGTGCGGCTGCGGCGCTCGGGCCTGGCTCCCAACGCAGATCTCAGCCACGGAGCAAACAGGACGGAGACAGCGGCCGGGGCGGCCACGTGAGCCGGGATTAGGGCGGCCCTATGCCTGGTCATGTCTGAGTGCCACATGACGGGCGGGACGCGGTGTCCCATGGCCGCTGGGTGGGTCGGAGCCCGCGCAGGTGGGTCCCCAGGGCTCCGGCGGGGGCGGGGCAGTCCTCCCAGGCCTGCCAGGCGGCCAGCACTCACACCTGCCATGGCGCTCTTGCCCGCCCCCTCCTCCGGCCTCGGGTCTCCGCACCCTCCCGCTCCCCCTCCCGCTCGCCCTCCAGGCTCCCACGGTTCCTGGGTAATACCAGCAGCTCTCTGGCCCCTGGGCCTGGGCACATGCTGTCCCCTCCACCTGGAGCCCTCTTCCCGTGCTCACCCAGGCCCTCTGAGTCACTCTGATCCGCCCTCGGATCTCCCCTTACTTGCCGCCCTGTCCAGGAAGCCCTGGCCACAGTCCTGAATCGAATACGAGGCCCGTTAGCAATGTCCTGCCCTGCTGGGGGGCCCTGGGGGCCCTGAGTTTCTAGCAGGTGTCCCTGGAATACAAGCTTCACCCCCCAGTTCTTGTCTTTTCAGCCCCTCCCCTACTTCATGAAGACAGCTGAGTTGGGGACACATTCACCACAGTGCACGCACACACATGCACGCACACACATGCACGCGCACACACATGCACGCACGCACATGCACGCACATGCACATGCATGCACGCACACATGCACGCACGCACATGCATGCACACGCTCATTTCCAGAAGAGACAGGCCTGGAGGGGCCTGGGCCTCTAGCGCATTCAGTAGATGAGGAAAGAGGCCTGTGGGCACAGGGAGGCCACAGGCAGGAGGGGACCATGTACAGCAGCTGGAGGGGGCGCATGGCGGCCTCACTCTGCGAAGGGCCAGAGCCACCAGCAGCCGGGCGCCCAGGCAGAGCCAGCACGGGCACAAGGAAGCTGCAGCTGCTATGGAGTCGTGAGCGCCCGTCCCTGGAGGCACAGGTGCCGGAAGAGGGCCTGGGTCTTTGCACAGGGGCTGGTGTGCCCCTTTAAGGGGGTTCCCTTCAGTTCTCAAGATGTAGGCATGGCCCAAGGTCACAGGCAAGGCCCAAGGGGGCCGTCCCGCACCCGGGCTGTTCCCCCTCTTGGGGCCAATCATTAATGGTCACCGCTTGAGTGGCTGCTCCCACAATGCCCCCGGCTGCCTGCCAGCTCATGGCCCGGCTCCCATCTCGTGCCCAGAGCCCCCGCATGCCTCGCTCCTCGGCCCACTCCCTGCTCGTGATGCCCAGCGCCCAGCCGCTGCCCCGGGAGGAGCAGGCGCTGGCTTGGGCCGTCACAGCACCCAGCCCGCTGCCCGCAGAGCGCAGCCCAGCTCCAGCTCGCCAGGCCCTCTGGGGAGGATGCCAGCGGAGGCCTCGCCTGGGCGGAGAGCCCCCAGCCCGGGCAGAGTGCAGGGCGGGCTCGGGGCTGGTGCTGGGCTGACCTGGGGCTGAGAGCGGGAGAAGGGGCATGAGGAGGTGACTATAGCCTGGCTGTGGACAGGGAAGTCAGGCAGGGGTGAAAAGGCGTGGCCCCTGGAGAAGCCAGCAGAGCAGAGGGGAAGGTGGCCCAGGAGGAGGGAAGGGGCTGGTATGCTGGGGAGAGGAGGGAGGCAGGAGTGACACAGGTAGGGCTACTCAGTCACCAAGCTGAGGAGCTGACTGTGTCCTGGGCAATAGGGAGCCACTGCAGGTTGTGGAGGGAGTCACATGGCACGGCTGGGGCTGGGTGGGAGGCAGCTGCCCGGGGAGGGCCAGAGAGGCAGGCCCCACGGTGGGCAGGGGGCAGGGGGCAGAGGTGGACAGAGGAGTAACCAGGTTACCACTGAGACGCCTGGGTGGGCTGGGCGGGGGCGGGGGGGGGGAGGCTGGATGTCGGGGGCGTAAACAGCAGGAGGCTGAGCGTGCGAGCCAGAGGCCCGTGGTCAGCTTGCTGCGCCGTCCACAGGGTGCCCCATGGGGTGGCCCCGGGGAGCGCAGACTGGAGCGGGGCCCAGGAGCGGAGACACAGAGGAAGCCAGCGAGGGGGCCCAGCCAAGGAAGAGGGGTCACTCAGCCACACAGGTCACCACGGCCTGGCCTCGAAGGGCGGGAACAAGAGGAGGTGAGGAATGGGATGGGGGTGGGCAGCTTGGCCAAAGGTTTCCCTCAGGAAGGCTCATCGAAGGGGGTCTCTGAGGCGGGCTCCCCAGAAGCAGAGCCCGAGACGCCGGGCGCTGCGGGGCTCAGGGCGTGAAGACACCGAGCAGCCACCCTGGAGGCAGGGGGCGACCCTATACCGCCCCCCCCACGCCTGCCTCAGCCCGTCCTTGGCTGTGGCTGCCCCTCCTGCAGCCAGAGCTGCGGATCCTCCCAGGCCCGCGCTGGGCCGAGGCCTGGGCTCCTAGAAGGACCAGGGAGCTGAGAGCCACGTCCTCACAGCAGGTGGCCTGGGTGGGGACAGGTCACTGGTGCGGCCAACGCCACTCCGGCCACTTAGGCGGCCATAGGCGGCCGGCGTTTACTGAGGCACCAAATGTGAATCCCCCGCCTGGGCCCGGCCCCAACAAAGAGCAGGCTCAGCGGGGCCATGTCTCTCTCACCCCATCTGGTGACCACAGCCCTCGGCCCGGCCACAGGACCACGCCCCCTGCCCGCCTGCACAGCGAGGCACCGAGGGGCTCCAGAACGGACGCAGGATCTGAACCCAGCTCCGCGAGGCAAACCTGCAGCTGCTGGCGACGGTGCAGCTGCCTGGGGCCTCGGCGGCCTCGGCTGGTTCGTGGGGTGCTCGCAGCTGCCTCACAGCCCGGAGCTCCAGGCCAGGGCCAGGCAGGAGTGGGCACCTGGCCCTGCACTGGATGGGCGGGCAGCCTCCCTCTCCCCAGCTGGCACCTGGAGGGAGGAGCTGCACTTGGGTGGTGGGGCCCCAGGGAGGGGCGGGCCGCCTTCCTGGCCGTGCCAGGTGCCACCCACAGGCTGCTCACCGCAAAGGGGCCCCTGGGGGCTCTTCCCTGCGCCACCCCAGCTCATGCCCGGTGTTCCAAGCCCTGCAGAGCTCTGGCCTGGCCCGGGTCCCAGCAGCTGTGGCGCTTGGCTCTCTGGGACCGGAAAGACACGCTGTGCCCACACGTTCCAAGGCCCACCTGTGCCCTCAGGCTGCGGTCTGAGAGCAAAGGCGCCCCTGCATGCCCGGCGCTGCACCCCAAGGTATCCCTCTCCCCATCTGACCCTCACGATGGCCGGGGTGCCCCCCCTCCCTCAGTCAGCAGCAGTTTATGGGGCACCGACTGTGTGCAGACATGAGGAGAGGCCCCGGGCCCAGCAGAAGGCCTGCTCTCTTGGAGCGCATTTTACAAATGAGGAAATGGATGCCTTCAGCAGCCCTGAGTGGCAGGAGGTCACACGGCTGGATTCTAATCCAGGTCAGACCTGGAAGTCACACTTTCCCCTCTCAGCCCCTCTCTGGGCCTCAGTCTCCTTGCCTGTGAAATGGGCACGATGGAGCCTCCAGGGCTGTGAGGACATGAGACACGGCGTGAACCGTGCAGCGGCACCACCAGCAGAGATCATGCCGCCCCTGCCTCCTGAGCCGCCCCTGCCCAGGGAAGTGGAGGAGCACCTCTCCCCCCAACCCCCAAGTCCTGACTCCACATACACACTCCTCCGTGTCCCCACACCAGTCATACCCCAGCATCCTGCGCACGTGTGATCACGTGTGATCACATTGCCCTCTGCCTGGAATCCCTTCCACTCTCGGGACCGTGGCACCACAGCTCCTGTGGGCTGGGAACCCTTCACACCAAGCCCCCGCAGCCCCACGTGGAATCCACAACTGTCACCCCATCTCCGGGAACAGCAGTGCAGACTGGGGGCTGGCGGGGAGGAGATGGAGGTCCTGGGCACACACAGCCGCCCAGCAGCAGGGCGCGCCTCCAACCACTGCCCCACACTGCCCGCCACCAGTCTGCCCAGCCCACAGCCCAGAGCGAGGACCCTCATCCACTCCCACGGGCTGGCTCCCGACAACGCCTCCCTCGTCCCAGATGTGGCAGGGTCCCTGGGGGCAGGCCCGGTCTGGGTCTCCCTGGGGTCCCGGTCCCACCCAGGCCAGGCATAGAGAAGGGCACAGGAGATGCTGTGGTGGAGTCATTGGTCAGGGGGCGGGGTCCGGCCTGGCCTTCAGGGGGGGCAGGCGGCCTGGCCCCGGCACCCGAAGCCGGGATGTCGGTGCCCGCGAGCTGGGAGGTGCCCTTACCTACTCGGAGCTCCTGCCCGAAGACCGTCTTCTCCCCGAGGGCAGAGCAGTTCCAGCGCCCGAAGCGGAACTGGTACTGGCACTCGTTGATGCCCATCTGCGCCCCCTCCCCGATCACGATGATGGCATCGGGCCGGCTCTGGCAGATGGCGCGCTGCCGCGGGGCCAACCCGGGGATCTTGTTGCAGATGATGTTGGCTCCGAGGGCCACGACGGACGACAGCGCTCTGCGGGCGGGGAGAGGGCAGGGCGAGGTGAGCCGTTGGCAGGGCCGCCCCCAGGGGCCCCGTTCCACTGACACGCACCCCTGCCCTCTCAACCTCCCAGTCGCAGGGACCAGCACGTGGCAGGACGTGGAATCCCAAGCCCCAGGCGTCAAGAGGAAGCTTGGACCCTCGGGCTTTGCGCCCATCCCCTCGGGTCTGCACACAGCTGCCCCCAGCAGCACACCCCAACTCCCAGCTGGGCCCCCGGGGTGCCTGGGCCAGGCAGGCTGCCCAGGGAGCCCCGGCTGGGAGCCAAGCCCACCACCTCCTGGCTCCAGCCGCAGGCCGTGCGTGACCTTGGGAAGGTGCTGTGCCTCTCTGAGCCTCAGTTTTCACATCCATGGAATGGGGGTATAAGACACCTGTCCCCCGGTCACCACCTCCGCCACCCAGGCTCGGACAGCAGAGGGGCAGGGCTGCTGCCACTACTCTCTCGTTTCTGGATGGCGAGGTGCCCTCAGAGAAGGAAACAGGCGCCAACGTGAATTGAGCACCTATTGTGTGCTGGGCGGGGCAGCTTGTGCTCAGAACTCAGAGCAGTCCCCTGAGGGCGCCCTGGCCAATTCTCCCGGCATCCTCGGGGAGCTGGGCCGAGACAGGAGGGCCCTGTGGGGCTCAGGCTCCTGCTCGAGCTGCTATCCGCGTGACTGTTTGTTTGATGAAGTGAAAGTCACATAACATAAAGGTAAACATTTTAAAGTTCAGCACATTCACAGTGTTGTGCAACCAGCACCTCTACAGAGCTCCCAGACGTGGCCACCCAGCCCTCAGCCGGCACTCCCGGCCCCTCCTCCAGCCCGACGCCACGGACCTGCGCCCGTTCCCGTGGCTCTGCCCGTGCGGACGCCACAGAGGGACAGGCTCGCGCGACCTGGGCCTGAGTCTGGCTCCTTTCACGGAGCTTCTCGGGGCGCTGTGTTCTCAAGGGCCGTGACCTGGTAGCAGGTGTCAGTGTTTCAAGCCTTTTTAAGGCGGAGTAACGTCCCACCGTCTGGAGAGACCACCTCCGTCCGCCCCTTTAGCACAGCTGGGCGGCCCCGCCCTCCCCGCTGGGACAGGGCTGCCCGGACCTGAGGGCCGGGTGTTTGTGCGAGTCCCTGTCTTCCGTTCTTCGGGGCTCACGCCCAGGAGTGGAATTGCTGGGCCATCGGGGAGTTTGTTTAGCTTTTGGGGAATCGCCCAGCTGTTGTCCACAGAGGCTGCGCCCGGAGGAGCAGGGACAGCTCGCTGGAGGAGGGGCGTGGCTCGGCAGAAGTGCAGGCGACAGCTGGTTTCAGTGAGGGCCAAAGGGTGGGAGCGGGGGAGCCCCGAGGGGCCCCCAAAGCGGATGCCCACGGCCCTGTCCTCTGCCACGGCCTGCAGCCCTTTCCTGGGAGCGCAGCCCGGCACCCACAGCCGCCTGGAAAGTCCCCGTGTGGCTCGAGCCCACAGCACGTGCTGGGACCCGGACGCCAGACCGACACCCAATCCCCACAGCCCGCCCGGCCCGCCCGCTAATCTGGCCCAGGCCCCCCGGTCTCCCACGGGCACAATGGGCAGCAGCGAGCGGAGGCTGGCGTGGAGGAAGCCTCTGGGCGGCGAGGCTGGGAGCGGCTGGAATCCGGGGAATTCGCCCAGAGTAACTGTAGATCCTCCGAAAACCGACCCTGGGAACTGAGACGGATGGGAACCCTGCCGGGCACCCGCCTCCAGGCCACAGGTCAGAGCTGCCTCGGATCCCCGCGCAAGCCTGCTGCCCGCCGCCCGCTGCCCGCTGCCCGCTGCCCGCTGCCCGCTCCGAGCGCCCCCGGCATAGGAACCCCTGCTGGGGCAGGCGCTGGGGCGGCCGGTCTCCTGGGGAGACTGCAGTGGGACTCGGGTGGGTGCTGGGGGATGAAACAGATCATGGTAGCCCTGGTCTTCCGCCTCCAGGCAGCCCACCCCGCCCTGCTGCCGCCAACACCCACATCAACCATGCTCTCCCGGCTCACAGCCCAGCCCCAGCGCCAGGCTCCGCTGCCTGGGACTGGGGGCTCCGGGGACCTGGCCCTGAGGACCCCACCCCCGACGCTGGTGCTGGCCCCCCGGCCTGGGGTGCCGCTGCTGGTGCCTTTGTCTGGCAGATGTTCCTTCCCTTCCAGGCCCAAGTGCAAGCCCCCCTGACGCACACCCTCCGGCCGGCTCTGAGGACTCGCACAGGGGCACGCGCCTCACCCCTGCCTCACGGCCGGGGGCCCATGCCCAGCTTCCCCGCCGTGAGGGCGGCGTCCAGTCCGAGCCGCATCTGGGGCCTCGGGGCGGCCCTGCGTCGCTGCCCACGAGTGTCTGTGAAACGGGTGGGTGAGTGAGTACATACCAAAGACTCCGTCTAAAAGAGCCGCTACAGCTCAGGAGCAGACAGACAGTCCGGTCTGAAAACAGGCGAAGGACTGGAAGAGAATTTCTCCTAAAAGATAGCCAGTGGCCAGCCGGCAGGCGGGAGGCCTGTAAACATGGCTCCCGTTGGGAAAACGCGAATCAGAGCCGCAGCCGGGACCGCGTGGCACCCGCCGGCGTGGCCTCGCTCAACGCCACGGAAAACCGCGCGCTAGTGCGGGTGTGGCGACCCCGGAACCTCGCCCTCGCTGGTGGGAGTGGGAGATGGTGAGGCCCCGGCCCTCGACTCCACTCCGCGGGACGCAGCCACAAGAGCGGAAGGTTCCAACGAGACTGTGAGCACACATGTTCACAGCAGCAATTCACAACAGCCAAAGGCGGGACCCACCCACGTGCCCGTCATCATATGAATGAATAAACACAATGTGGCCCTGGCCAGTGTGGCTAAGTGGATAGAGCATCGGCCTGCAGACCGAAGGGCCCCGGGTTCGATTCCAGTCAAGGACGCGTACCTCAGTTGCAGGCTCCTCCCCGCCCAGGCCCTAGTCAGGACGCGTGTAGGAGGCGACCAATGAATGTGTCCTCTCACATCGATGTCTCTCTCTGTCTTCCTCTCTCTCTCTCTCTCTCTCTCTCTCTCTCTCTCTCTCTCTCTCTCTAAAACCAATGGAAAAATACACTCCGGTGAGGATCAAACAAACAAACAAACAGGATGTGGCCCGCATTGCGTGGGATGGAATGCTATGCGGCCATGAAAAGGAAGGGAGTGCGGCCACGGCCACGCAGCTGCACCACGGGAACATCACATCTGTGAAAGGGGCTGGACACGAAAGGCCACATCCTGTAGCTCCGTCTGGGTGAGACGCCCGGCGAAGGTAAACCCACAGGCACAGAGGGGGATCCGTGGCTGCCAGGGGCGGGGGGTGGGGGGGAAGGGAGCGCCTGCACCATCTCATGGCGTGGTTTCCACCTGGTGTCACGAGAGACGTTCTGGAACTAGACAGAGACATGGCTGCACATCGAGGATGCGCCGGTGCCACTGGGCGTTCACTCTCACACTGTGAAAGGGGCCGATTGTATGTAACGTATCTTTAACCACAATTTTAAAAAATTCCATCTGTACACGGGATTTCTACACCCGGCCGCAGTGGGATTGGGGGGAAAGTAGAGGGGCCTTGCCCATGTGGTGCCCCACTTGTACCCACTGTATGCCTCCCTGGGGTATGGGGGGAGGCGATGAGGAGGGGGATGGGAGCCCCCAGTCACCCCCCAGGCAGTGCTAGATTACGTACGGGTGAAATATAGGCACCGCACCCAGCCGGCGTGGCTCAGTGGTTGAGCATCAACCTATGAACCAGGAGGTCACGGTTCAATTCCCGGTCAGGGCACATGTCTGGGTTGCGGGCTCCATCCCCAGTGTGGGGTGTGTAGCAGGCAGCCGATCCATGATTCTCTCTCATCATTGATGTTTCTATCTCTCTCCCTCTCCCTTCCTCTCTGAAATCAATAAAAATATATTAAATATATTTATGTGTGTGTATATATATATATACCGCACAAGAGTCACAGGAGCATGAATAATCAGATATGATTGGTAACTCAGAAATAACTTCAAATAGTCTTCCTTAGACTGTGGGGTTTCGTCCCCAACAATCTTAAATTCCCCTGCCCTGAGCCTCGGGCCTCTCCTGGCGGAGCCCTGCCATCCCCATGTCACGGGTGCCGCCTGGAGCTGGGAGAGGCCAGGGGACCCGCCGAGGCCACACAGCCAGGCCCAGAGCCCGCTCCGCTTCCAGAAGTCAGGTGGACGCAGCGCTGTGGCTCCAAGCACTGCACGTAGTAGGTGCTTTACAGACATGAGAGGTCAGCCAGGAGTGGAAGCCACGCCCCCTTGCCATCTCAGGACAGCTGACACCCTCCCCGGCTGAAGTGTTCCGGTCACTCCTGAGTTCGTCCAGGGCTGTGGACACTGTCGTTGCTGGCGTCTGAGGTGGGAGCCGTTGCTGGCCGCCCCATCACCCTCTCCCCCACAGCCCCGCGTGCCCGCGGGCTGGCCACTGCCCTCACAGGCAGGCCTGGCCCCGCCACACCCAGGACTTGCCCACACTCTTCCTTCCGCCTGGAAGGGAGGGGACGGCTGATAAGGGCCGGCTTGGCTGTCCGGAGGGAGCCATTGGCGTGGGGTGGGGATAGAAACACATCATAGCCAGATAACTGGTTCCCGGGCGGCGGCGGGCGCGGGCACACCCTGCGGTAACTGGCCTCTGGGTGAGGCGCGCTATGCCGCCCAGCATGCCGCCCGCAAGGGGACTGGCTCTCATCCCAAAGTGGGGAGGACCCTCTGGGCACCTCCCGCCCGCAGCTGCCGCTCAGGTGCCGGGAGAGGCTGGCAGGACGTCGCGAGTGGCCCGGGCACCCGGAGAGGCGGGCAGGGGCTCCTGTTTCAGTCGCTGACTTTTTCCATGGAAAATTCTGCTCTGGGCTCGTCCCCTGCACTGCTCAGGGGCCTCAGGACACGGGAGGGGACACGGCTGAACGTCCGGAAACGTCCCTCGCCCCTGGCCAGGGCCATTCGGAGGAGGGAGCGCGGAGAAGGGGTTCGGGGC